ACGGCCTCGTTTCCCGTTTAAAACGGCTCTCCCCATCCGTCCGATCACCTCATCCTTTGCACATGATTCCGTTCTTGCGACCAAGTCGACTTTTTCTCATTTCTTCATTCCATTTTTTTTGCATATAAAATGTGATAATCTTTTTTTATCTTTAGACATTTTTCTTTAGTTTTCAATTGAGCTTTGTAAATGACAAAAATCGCTGAACAGTGCTCGATTTTTGATGAAGAGATTTCGAAGGGGAATCCTTGGTACAGTACTGGACAATGAAATATGATATTTGAAAAACGATCGTCACTTTCGCACGTCTGTAACTTCCTTGTCTTTGAGTTTAAACTATTAGTGTTATACATTTTCTGAAAGCTCTTTTCAAGGGCTACACAATGGTAAAATTAATATTTGGAAATACGGTAAAGACAAGGGAGTTACAGACGCGCGAAAGTGATGATCGTTTTTCAAATATGATATTTCATTGTCCAGTACTGTACTTTGTGCTCTAGAAACAAAAAGGGATTTGATGCGCTAGAGAGTGGGATGAAATCAGATCAGACTTTGAAATCTTTAGCTAAAAGTTGAAACTTTTCAAACCCTAGAGAAGCCAATGAGCAATAAAGGCAATGAGCCAATGAGCGCAATGTCTTCGATAAGATTAAGATGATAATTTAGAGAAATTTTTATCAAAATTCTCTAATTCTTTTAAGCTTTCTGAGAAGTGAATGGAATAAGCGAAAGAAATAAAAAAAAAATCGATATTGCCACGCCGATTTCCAATCCTTTTCTCGATTGAATCGGCTAGGAAAGAATGAAAATGTGGGGAATTTTGGAGGAATAGAGAAAAGAAAAAGAGAATAGAGAAACCTTGAGCACAAATTCGTTCATTTTTCATTCAAAATCCATAATCTCTATTCATTTTTTCATTCTTTCTTTTTTTTGTAAGACAGGGAAATGAACAAAAAAAAGAGCAATTTTGTGCATTTTTCCAAAACGCAAGGCATCTGGTGCACTGAATTCTCTAAATTTTTGTGCACTAGATCCCTTGCGTTTTTTTGATATTGTCTAGCAAATATTTAAAGTTTAGTGCACTAGATCCCTTGTGTTTCCCCTTTCAAAGTTCATCATTCAAAAATCGTTCACAAAGTAGGCGATTCCGAGCCGTTTGACGGTCTTTCTTCTTCATATTACTTTCTAAAGTACTGTAAAATTTCCATTGAATAGTTTTTTCTATAAGAATGATGTTTAACGAAACGAGAAATGAGAAGAATTTTGATGGAAATGTTTGCAGAGCTGTCGTGTTAGACACGTTTCTCGCCGTGATTCTTGTCGTGGATTGAGATTCTCAAAAAATAAAACAAATAGCTAAAATTTTCGACTTTCTCAGTTTAACTTAATTTACCGTAATAATTCTAATAGAAGACCAGTCTCCAATAGAAGACCACCCCCTTGACCCCTTGAAATCGGGACTTTTTAAAACTTCTGTTCAAGTAGAATGAAAGATTTGGGTCCAGATAGTAATATTTTAGCCTCGGCAGTAAAATTGGAGACGTAGTTTTTGAAAAAATTAAAAAATAACTTTTTGGAAAAATTTTTATGTGGTCCCCTACATGGATTTTTTTGAAAGATTTTCTATGGAGTCCGGGCAAGAAAATAATTTCACTTTTAGACATGTTTTTGGCATGTTCTGGGGCAAGGGCTATCGTTTGAAATAGTTTTTAACTATTTTTAATTTTTTGATTCATGTGGGGGACCTTTACCTACTTTTTTGACTCACCAATTTTGGGGGGTTGAAAATTAGAAGACCATGGTCTTCTATTAGAATTATTACGGTATACTACTTTAAAGTATCTTACAAGATCAATAAGCTGCTTTTTTTCAGCTCTTAATTACCATATTCTCTCTAATAGTAGTGCACCCAGGCCGAGCCGAGTTGATGACTATTTTACGGGTTCCAAAGTCTTCACAGAAGCTCAAGACTCTAATCATCGTCAAGATCTGATCGTCAGCTACATTTTCCGACCCCACATCGATAGGTTCTGATAAGCGGTTCTCGAGATTTCAAGGAATTTAGGCAACGCTCAAAGTGCCCTACTATTAGAGAGAATACGGTCTATATTGTTAAAAATAGGCTCATTCCGCGTCTTTTTTAGTCAGTCTTTTCTTCCCATGGTTACCGTATTCTCTCCAATAGTAGTGCGCCCGGCCGAGCCGAGTTGATGACTATTTTACGGGTTCCAAAGTCTTCACAGAAGCTCAAGACTCTAATCATCGTCTAGATCTCATCGTCAGCTACATTTTCCGACCCCACATCGATAGGTTCTGATAAGCGGTTCTCGAGATTTCAAGGAATTTAGGCAATGCTCAAAGTGCACTACTATTAAAGAAAATACGGTATTCAATTGAAAATTTTAAAGTTAAATTAAAGTTAAAATTTGTTGAAATTCTTTTTTTCTAAGCTTTTTCCCGATTCTTTGAACAGTTTTTTGGCTTTTAAAAAGCTGAAAACTTGTTTAAATTGTCTAAAATTGCTGAAAATTTGTTGAAATCTGTTTATTTTTAAATGCAACAATGTTTAATTGAATATTTTTTGTTTTTAAGTCTAGAAACTTTCTTTCCAACTTTTTCTTTGTTGTTTCCATGGAAAACCTGCTGCGAAACCTTTTTTTTCTTCAGCTAAACAAGCTAAAGTTTCCATTTATAAACAAAATTTTAACAATTTTAATTGTAATTAAATGCTTTTAAACTTTAAAAATTCAAATTTTGTGTTTTATCATTTGGAATTCCCTCACATCGCCACTTTCAAAGTTTGGGATGTGCAATGGCAATGAATAAACTTGTTAATGACAATTTCTAAGCGATGTGCAATGGAAAATGAATAAACTTGTTAATGGTTAATATGTTAATATGTTAATATGTTAATATGTTAATATGTTAATATCTAAGTCCCAAAATCTATGTGCACAAGGAAAATGATAAGTTTTAAGGAAAAAAATTCGCTTAAACAATGACAATAGTTTGCCTTTTAGAACTTGTTAATGTGTACAATTCCTAAGCCATGTGCAATGGCAATGAATAAACTTGTTAATGGCAATATATATGTTATGTTTTCTTCTCGACTCGGCACCCCTCCCTTCGGGGTGTTGTCGTCGTCTCCGGCGGGGCCGGGGGGCCCTGGGCGACCCCCCACCCGGCGGACTAACCCGCGCTGCCACTGGCAGTCGGCGGGTCGACCCAGCCCTTCCCTTTCTGGGCCCCTGGCTGTTCTGCCCACTTTTTTAAGGAAAAATATGCATAATGACAATGTTGCCTTTTGCACAATTTCTAAGCCCCAAAATCTATGTGCGCAAGGAAAATGATAAGTTTTAAGGAAAAAGAATCGCTTAAACAATGACAATGGTTTTCCTTTTAAACTTGTTAATGTGTTAATGACAATTTCTAAGCGATTTGCAATGGCAATGAATAAACTTGGTAATGGTTAATATGTTAATATGTTAATATGTTAATCTCTAAGCCCCAAAATCTATCTGCGCAAGGAAAATGATAAGTTTTAAGGAAAAAATTCGCTTCAACAATGACAATAGTTTGCCTTTTAGAACTTGTTCTCAAGAAAAACTTTTTAAAAAAAACCAACTACCGAAGCGTTTACAGGAAGGTTTTTCATTTCAAAAACCTTTAAAAAACAATTTCTTGATTTAAAATCAAATGCAAGGTATTTAAAATAGCTTTTTTTAGAACTATTTATAGTTTAGACAATATTTTAAACAATATTTCTTCAAAATACTTTCGAATTCTTCAATTAATTCCGTCCACTTCATTTTTTTTTCAAAAAGTTTTTCTAAATAAAAAGAAAGATTTCCTTTTTCGTTTTCTTTTGTCAAAATTTAAGAGAACTTTCGATTTTTTTTCTCTCAAATTCTTTTTGATCAATTCAAGGTAATAAACAAGTTAGTGAAACAGTTTTCAAAGCAACATTTAATCCATTCTAGTCGAACGATTGAAGCTAAAAACTTCAGAAAATTCTTATTTTGTAATGCTTTTTTCCGGCTGTAATTTTAAAGTCAATGAGATAGTAAGTCAATGGTAATCGATCTGGATGGTGAGTGCCATCTCAGTCAATCTGAGATGGTACTTACCATTTAGCAGCTAAAAACTTGGCATCTCAGATCGACGGAGATACTAACCATCTTGACTGAGATGTACCATTGACTGAGATACTTACCATTTTGATTGAGATGTACCATCGACTCAGATACTTATCATCTCGATTGAGATGTACCATCGACTCAGATACTAACCATCTTGACTGAGATGTACCATTGACTCAGATACTTACCATCTTGACTGAGATGTACCACCGACTTAGACACTTACCATCTTGACTGAGATGTACTTCCCATCGACTCATCTACTTACCATCGACTTCCCATCTTACTTAGTAACTTACTAGGGAACAGTGAGGTTTTGCAAGCGCCAATCCGAATACAGAAATCGTTTGGGCAAAAACTAAAAACGTGATCGTGTTGCCCGTGTCCGACTTGCATAAGTCATATAGCTTTGGTTGGGATTCACGCGAAATCTGACCGTTCCCTAGTTAGTTATAGCTGCCTCGTAAGATGTGCTTTGTGCTCCTCAGCAATCGCTTGCTATCTAGTACAACTGAAAGCCAGAGTATAAAGCTTTTTGATTAAGAAGCTTTCTATCTACACTTTCCTGCATCCACATAATCGCTTACTATCTATCAGAATGACAAGATCACTTCAAAAAGGATTGTTTCCTCAATAGGCTTAGGCAATCTTTTCTTTATCCAACCTTAACAAAAGCTTTAAAAAAGAACTTTAAAGAACTTTTATTGTTTAGTTGTCTAGCTTTGGCTGTAAAATCTAATATTTTTCGAATTACGTGGTTTTTCTTTGAGCTTTTCGAGATTTTATCGTAGAAACCCGCTCGTTCTTTTATAGAACACTGAAAGCTTTTCTCTGAAATCCAATCTTTCATTTCAAGAACCAATGTTTATCCCAATATTCTACGGTCTCAGCGTGCTATGCGCTTTACTATTCTACTATACAAGGACCAAGGTAACTTTATTTTATTTAAAAGCTTAATCTTAACTAATATAGGTAGAAACTTGTGAAGATGCGAACTTTAAAGGCTTCCAAAAGACCTATATTACTGTCTATTTGTTGGCTGTTGGTGAGTTTTCTTATCTTTGCTATTTACTGTGAAATTTAGCTGGTGATTGGCTGCAAGGACCTCATGTCTATGCTTTGTATGACAGCTATGGAATGACAAAACATCAAATTGAGGTAATCTGTGAAACATTTCTCTACTAATCCGAATTCAGATCCTTTTCATTGCTGGCTTTGGTTCATCTTTACTTTTTGGCACAATCATTGGCTCATTTGCGGACAAATTGTAGGCATAAATGAAAAAAAATATAATAATGATAGTTTTGTGAAAATTCGTCAATTTGGCATTTCTTGAAAACTAGTTTTTGAATCGTTCTGAAAATTTGGATATAAGCTCCATTTTTGATTCTCTACAACTTTTCTATTGACACCAAAATGGGTTTCTTTTGAAGAAAGTGGCGTCACATACGATAATAGCTGGCAGTTCTCAATTCACTAACCCAATGGATTGAGATTAGCCTTGATTTGCGCAGAAGTGAATGTCCAATTTGAGGATTCGGAGCCGGCCAGAGTCGTTTGGCAAAGGGAGAGGGAAGGGAGTTATGTGAAAGCCCTGCGCCAGACGACGAGCGATTACGATTACGCACAAAGAACACACAGAACACACAAATTTTAAGCGGAACTACTAAGTGTATCTTTTTGGAAATTTGGATATAAGCTTGATTTTTGATTCTCTACAACTTTTCCATTGACACCAAAATGGGTTTCTTTTGAAGAAAGTGCTCAAACTGTGACATATGACAATAGCCGGCAGTTTTCAATTCACCAACCCAATAATAATGATTCAGTGGTCGTCGAAACAATTGTCTTCTTTACGCTTTATTGTATGGTGGCGCTTGTGTAACGAAACATTTCAATGACATCAATATTTTAATGATTGGACGGTAATTTCTAAACTTTGTAAGTTATTTAAAGCGTTAAAAGTAAATTTTTAGATTTCTTGGTGGTATCGCGACGTCAATTCTCTATTCAGCTTTCGAAAGTTGGCTTGTTTTCGAGCATAATAAGGTGAAATGGAATAGAAATCGTTGAATTAGCTTGATAGAGCTTTTTGAGATATATGTTAATGTTATTAGGTTGGCAAGTTATAAACGATCGTTTTTTGGTAATGTGTTTTCTGAAAAAACGGCTTATCCAATCAAAAAACGGTTTTCTTGATTCAAAAGCCCTATCCATAATCTACAAAATGGGTTTTTTGAATTTTTGAAAATTTTAATGTAAGAGCATTTTAATGTAAGAGTTCAAAATCCTGGTTTCTAGCATTCATGAGCTAATATATTTTTGAATGATTGCATACTTTTTAAAATAAAACGCTTCATCGATTACATAGTTTCCCAAAATTTCAGAACAATCCAATCTTCGGAAGGTTGATTTCTCTATTCAGCTTTCGAAAGTTGGCTTGTTTTCGAGCATAATAAGGTGAAATGGAATAGAAATTGTTGAATTAGCTTGATCGAGCTTTTTGAGGCATATGTTGATGTTAGATTGAGTTGTAGAAGTGAAATGAAATGAAATGAAACTCTGGATTCATTCAAAAGACTTTTATAAGCCAAAAACCAATCTGTATCTATTTTTAGCGTGGCTTCAGCGATGATCTCTTGGGCACAGTGTTCTCAAATGCAGCTTTGGGCAACTCTCTTGTCGCCATTCTTTCCGGTGTCGCTGCTCAAATGGCTGCTGATACTTTTGGCTATGTGTGAGTGATTAAAAAAACTTGTAAGTACTAATGACAATGAAAATTTTCTTTTAGTGCTCCATTTGATTTGTCAATGTTAGTGTTGGGTGTAATGTTTTTCCTTGTCTATGGTACATGGACTGAAAATTATGGAAATGAATCAGCAGCTCTTCAGCATTCATTTAAAGAAGCTGCGAATACGATTAGAAATGGTAAAACTGGAAAAAAGATGTTCTATAAGATTTTCTAACTTTAGATGTAAAAGTGCTTTGTCTTGGACTAGTTCAATCGCTTTTTGAAGGAGCTATGTACACTTTTGTACTCGAATGGACTCCAGCTTTATCACAAGTAGGATTAAAACCAAGAAAATCGATCTTAAATGATTTTCAGGCAACTGAAGGTTCATCAATTCCTCATGGATATATTTTTGCTGCTTTCATGGTCGCTACAATGATGGGCTCATCAATTTTCAAAATCATCTCCAAACGGAAAAGACCTGAGGATTTTATGAGGTTAAATAGAAGAATAATAGTTGAAAGCTAAAGCTAAAGCTAAAGACGAACAAGAATCTAAAGCTAAAGCTAAGAACAAGAAAGCTAAAGACAAGAATCTATTATTGAACTCTAATAGAAGTATTACTATATTACTCTACATTACCGTACTCGGACCTTTACGGTTAACAGCCGGGCTAGCAATTATCGGCAGTGGTCAAGTTTTTAACCAATAACAGCCGGGGTAGCGATCATCAGCTTGCAAAGCTTTTTAACCAATTTGCAACCCGATTTTATATAAGTTTATGTCAATAAATTTTGATAAAACAAATAGGTTCTGAAAGCTGACGTTTTAAGCTATTTAAATCTTATTAAAACTTCTTGATCTGACAAGTTTAAGGTGCTTAAAAATGAGCTGCAAGTTGGCCGAAAAAAATTGGCTTCCGTAAACCGTAAAGAAAAGAAAAAACCAAACCGTGGCAACCGTAAAGATCCCCGTACTCTAATAGAAGAGCGAGAGTAGTCTAAGATCTGTAAATGCTTTCTAATCCATCTACCAAAAAAATAAGATAAAGTTGTCTTAAGAAAACATTGAGAAGTTCAGTTTTAACTCGATTTCCATTTCAGATACGTTCTCTTTATCGCAGCGATTTGTCTCTCCGTTCCAATCTTCATGCCCTCTTCAGGCATCTCCATTTTCATCGGATTTCTCGTTTTTGAGGTGATATTTCAAAGATTTACTAATGTTTTTTGTGTTTTTCCTTTTTCCAGGGTTGTGTAGGCATTTTCTGGCCAGCAATGGGTTTCTTGCGGGGTGTTTATGTGCCTGAAGAAACTCGTTCCACTACAATCAATCTCTTCCGAATCCCCCTCAATCTCATCGTCGTTTTCATTCTCTTACAAGTGAGCATAGCATAATTCGAAATATTTCAAAACCTTTAGAACTTCTCAATGTTGGCAATCTTTCACTTCTGTGTCTTCTTCCTTTTATTGGCTGCTTGTGCTCAGCATGTTCTCTACAAGTTCGTTTTGCAAAGTTCTCTACAAAACGAATCGAATGGACACAATCATTCCAATTAAATGCTTTTCTTCAAGTTAAAGATTAAGAAAATGGCATGCAAGCTGTAATTTGCTGCAAAGGATTGGCGTTGGGAAAGGGTTTTAGAAAGGGGTGGGTTCGAGGAATTCTTTATCTTACTAGATCTCACTGGATCTCACTGGATTGGATTCTCAAGGATCAATAATGCTTTTGGCCTACTTTCTGGCACAATTCTTATCTTAGAAAGCAAAAATTGATAGTACAGAGTTGAAAGAATTTGGGTAAAAGAATTCCAAGAACTACAGGGTTGGGGAAATCACCTGGACAACTTCTTGGAAAAGTAGTTGCCCCAGTTTATTTCAAAATCTTAAGTGTTACTTAGAGAATTGTAGGGCTTAATCTTGGCTACATTTATCTAATAAAAACTTAGCAATTAGATTTCTGCAACTTATTTTAAAAGTCATTGAATGAGCACTGATCCCTATCCGCCGTGCTGCGATTTTTGACGATTTTCTATATAAAAAAATTGTTCGAAAAAGTTTTTGTCAATATTTATTTTATACAAAAATCTCTTTTAATATTATTAATAATATTAAAGATAATTTTGAACTGTTTTTGAACCAAAATAACCAAAATATTAGGTTGATGCATAAATCTTTTCGTTTTTTCTGTTAAAAAGTAACAAATTCACGAATTAATCTATAGTTTGCTCTATAAAAAAAGTGTTTTTTTGTTCAATTTGCATCTTTTTAAATGAATTTCGGTTCACTTTCAAGCAAATTCGAGAGTGAAAAACGCCTTTTTCGTAAAAATCTATAAAAAACTCTACGGAAAAATTGGCTGAATGAATTTCTCTGAAATTTTGGCGAAATATCAAACGTTTTTTTTCTCTATCTTTTATCTATTGACACGAAGATAGGTTTTCTTTAGCTAAGGTGTCTAAACCGCTCAGGCTCAGGCTCAGGCTTAGGCTGAGGCTTAGCCTGAGCCTGAGCCTGAGCCTGAGCCTAAACCGCATCATCGAGTTAGCCCTTTTTGACTACCCGACTTCATACTCTCAAGAAAATCCAGGCATTCAATATTTTTAAACCCGTTTTAATGTTATTTTGCAGAAAAATAATTGCTTTTTCTAATGAAATCAACCGTAGTTTAATTGGTGCATTTGTTGGCTTGAAACGGCAGACGAAAAGGAACAAAAAGACATGCATCAACCTAATATTATAACAAAAATCAAGCTAGTGAAGACGTAAGGAAAAAGGTAAAGATTTTGATTATTTTTTTTGATATTTAATTCACATGAATATCTTGTTATCTTGTTATTTTAGCTTTTATAGCGCTGTTTAAACAAACTACACACAAATTTTGCTAAATAACTTCCTTTTTAGATCAATTTTTATGTAGAAAATCGTCAAAAATCTCAGCGCCCCGGATAGGGATCAGTGCTCATTCAATGACTTTTTAAATAAGTTACAGAAATCTAATTGCTAAGTTTTTATTAGATAAATGTAGCCAAGATTAAGAGCTACATTTCTCTAAATAACATTTGAGATTTTGAAATAAACTGGCGCAACTACTTTTCCAAGAAGTTGTTTGGGTAATTTTGCTTAGAGTGTGTTCCTTTGATTCGAGCAGTTATTTACTCGAAAAGAACACACTCTAATTAATAGACACATCACTGTGTTCCTCGCGAGTAATGCGTTTTTTTAAAAAGCACACTTGGCAAAAAATTACCGTACTTTTAGCAAAATTATTGCAAAAAAATGGGGAGTGGGACAAATGCGACGTTTTTTTTGCGCACCCGGACATTTGCGCACCTTTTTTTCCGCACCTTGCCCATTAGCGCACCTTTAAAAGCTAATATTAACCAATTTCTATTCCAAAAGTTGTTTTTCTAGGTAATTTTAGGGCGTAGAATCGAAATTTTGACATATCAGAGCTTGTGGAAACAAACGGACGGAGTTATACAAAGAGAAAGATCGACAATTTTCTGTAATTTGACCTAGCCGTTTTGTCTTTCAAATTTGTCTTTCAAATTGGTTCCACACGCTCTGTTATGTCAAAATTTCGATTCTACGCCCTAAAATTACCTAGAAAAACAACTTTTGGAATAGAAATTGGTTAATATTAGCTTTTTAGAGCTTTTAAACGCGAAAAAAGGTGCGCTAATGGGCAAGGTGCGGAAAAAAAGGTGCGCAAATGTCCGGGTGCGCAAAAAAAAGGTCGCATTTGTCCCACTCCCAAAAAATGACGCAAAAATGACGAGCCCCGCATTATATACGACACTTTTTAAAGATACACAGCTGTTTAACTGATTTGGTGGAGAATTCCCCTTCCAATGTGAAAAATGATTTTTGTTTTATTGGCTTTTATTGCTTTTATATTTTTTTTCGCACAGGCGCACTTTTTTGAGAAAACGCATTACTCGACAATTACTCGAACTATTTACTCATGCAAATTTACTCGAGTAATTACTTTACTCGCGAGGAACACACTCTAATTTTGCATAACACTGGAGCATGGTTAATTTCTCTAAATTTGCAGGCACAGCTTGGTTGAAACAAAGCACCTTCCCGTCAAAGTGAGTCAAGATGATCAATATTGATTTGATTAGAGAAAAGAAGATCCCATTTTCACCAGTGATATATGGAAAAGTGATTGTTGAATGTTTTATAGTAAAAAGATTCATTAAAGTCAACTTATCAGCAGTTAAATGTAGTAAAATAATTTTTTTAATTTGTTTTCTTGTTGAAATGATTAAAGTAAATCGATTTATCACTATTTGCAATTCTTTGGGTTCAATTTTTGCATTAAATTCGGCTGTATTTTGCTAGAAATTTCACATCCTTCTATGCAAACTAGCTGAAATACTCAAAGATTGATCTGTAAAGCTGATTTCATCTTTTAATACTTGATAAACTATTGATAAATCGGATTTAGTTTAATCATTTCTATATAAAATTCATGAAAAATTATCTTATTTGCTGATAATTTTGTTTTAGTTGCTGACAATCAATGTTAATTCAGAGCAAATGTAAGGATGATTTCTAAAATGTATTACCGTATTTTCTCTAATAGTAGTGCACCGAGAGCATCGCCTAAATTCCTCGTAATCTCGAGAACCGCTTATCAGAACCTATCGATGTGGGCTTGGAAAATGTAGCTGAAGAGGAGATCTTGACGATGATTAGAGTCTTGAGCTTCTGTGAAGACTTTGGAATCTGTAAAATAGTTACCAACTTGGCTCGCTTGGGTGCACTACTATTAGAGAAAATACAGTAACCATGGGGAAGAAAAGACTGACTAAAAAAGACGCGGAATGAGCCCATTTTTAACAATATAGACCGTATTCCCTCTAATAGTAGTGCACCTTGAGCGTTGCCTAAACTCCTCGAAATCTCGAGAACCGCTTATCAGAACCTATCGATGTGGGGTCGGAAAATGTAGCTGACGATGAGATCTTGACGATGATTAGAGTCTTGAGCTTCTGCAAAAGCTTGGAAACCGTAAAATCGTCATCAACTCGACTCGCTTGGGTGCACTACTATTAGACAAAATACGGTAATCAAGAGCTGGAAAAGCAACTTACTGACCTTGCAAGAACTTTCAGGAAATCAATCTCAAAAAACATGTAAACAAGATTCAGACAAAGTGTAACTACTTTCCAAGCGTTTAAAGTTAACTTTGTCAATCAACTATCGTATTCTCTCTAATAGTAGTGCACCCTGAGCGTCGCCTAAATTCCTCGTAATATCAAGAATGTCAGAACTATCTATCCGCTTATCAGAACCTATCGATGTGGGGTTGGAAAATGTAGCTGAAGAGGAGATCTAGACGATGATTAGTGTCTTGAGCTTCTGCAAAAGCTTGGAAATCGTAAAATAGTCACCAACTCGGTTCGCTGGGGTGCACCACTATTAGAGATAATACGGTAACTTTCAAAAGCTATTTAAGTAATCTATTACCGTAATCTAAAGAATTTTGAAAGATAATAATTAATAGATTGCTTAGAGATATAATAATTTTCAAAAGATGGCAGAAAATCCATAACACTTTTCCAATCACTTTTCCAAAAGCACCCAGCCATTTTTTTTTCAGTTTCATGTATTTACGGCAGATTTACCTACGGGTATGCTGAATTTTTGTGAAATCTGTGATAATTCTTTTAATCTTTTCTTCTGTGATCTTTTAATTGTGGGTTTTTAAACAATTTTTTCATTCAATAATTCTTTTTGTCTTTCATTCAAAGATTTGTAACAAAATTTGAATCAAAGTTGGTATTTAATGTTTTTAAATTGCATGAACAACTCAAAGTTGAGACAAACAAAAGCCGGTTGGTGATCTGGTTGGATATAAATAACAAAAATTCGATTGGATATATTGTATTTTTTTGTAATAACAGTGTGCACTACTCCAGCCTGCACTACTCCAGTCTGCATTACTCCAGCCTGCACTACTCCAGCCTGCACTACTCCAGTCTGCATTACTCCAGCCTGCACTACTCCAGCCTGCACTACTCCAGTCTGCATTACTCCAGCCTGCACTACTCCAGTCTGCATTACTCCAGCCTGCACTACTCCAGTCTGCATTACTCCAGCCTGCACTACTCCAGTCTGCATTACTCCAGCCTGCACTACTCCAGTCTGCATTACTCCAGCCTGCACTACTCCAGCCTGCACTACTCCAGCCTGCACTACTATTAGAGAGCTTTCTTTTGTTTTCACTAAAACCAAGTCTTTACCAGGCAATTATAACAGTTATCATACGACTCATTTCTTCCAAATGAATCTAGTTGCTTTTCTATTTATTCAGAAATAAGCAAAGGGAAAACCGTAAATACTGTAATAGTACCCCAGCCCCATAAGGTGGAGTGTTGCGTAGTCTAGCTTTGAACGAGTTTTTCTCGACACTGGTTTATGGTTTACAATGCGCGCTTAGGTATCAAAAAATAGCTGAAATTCAGAGCTATTTTTTGATACCAAAGACGCATTTTTTGAGAGTACGGGCGCTTTGAAAAAGATGAAATACTAAAAAACTTTTGCGACTACGCGACTGTACAAGGGGGGTGGGGTACTATTACAGTATTTACGGTAAGGCTTACAGTAAATGATACAACAGTTTAGATTCTCCAAGTTACTGAACTTTAAGGCTTAAAAGCTTTTCCCTTGCCACTACCCTGTTGCCTTCAGATCGAATTCTCACCCCCCCCCCTTCCCATCTCATAATGTTTCATCGTTTTCACTGCATCTCAATTGCTCATTCAGGTAATGACGAAAGGTTTCATAAAGCACATACCGTAAATACTGTAATAGTTCCCCACCTCCATAATGACGGTGCGGAGTGTTGCGTCGTCTAGCTTTGAACGAGTTTTTCTCGACACTGGTTTATGCTTTTCTATTTATGCTCTAATATTTGCTTTGAAGGTAGCGTTCCAGGCAATATCAAGCGCTTGGATGTAACAGTGTTTCTTCTTTGCTCTCATCGAATACTCGGATGGTGCTATTTTGCGTTTTGTTTTGTTTTCGAGAAGGTTCCTCATCAGGCTCCTCTTTGCCAGCTGCATCGTCAGCGATGTTGGCTTCATTTGCGCCCAAATTGATTTTATCTTCAGCCACAAGAAAATCCTCTTTGCATTGAGCGTTCCAATCTTGAGCATCCTTTTTGGAATGCTTGCTTTGTAGGTAATTCTTGCTAGTGTTTATCGGAGTCGCCGTCAAGTTTCATTTCTCAAAAAATCAAACTTTGAAAAGAATAAGAAAATGATTGTAAATCAATAAAAGAAGTAGTAAAAATCTGTCAAAAATTTAGTCAAAATCACAATCTGTTAGTCAGTACTAAAGAAATAGGCACAATTTGATAAGAAAATCTCATTTAATAACCAGTATGCTTTTAAACAGGCACAAGGCATAAGAACATCTCATTTAATTACCAGTATGCTTTCAAAACAGGCAAAATTTGATAAGAACATCTCATTTAATTACCAGTATGCTTTCAAAACAGGCAAAATTTGATAAGAACATCTCATTTAATTACCAGTATGCTTTTAAAACAAAGAAAGCCAAAACGAACAAAAACAGAGGAACTTTTTGACAGGTGGCACTACTATTTTTTCAACCCTCCTCCCTTCCTGCCTGCTACAGAAACTACTACTACAGAAAATACGGTAAAACATATTTGGAGGTCGATGAATGATTATCGTTCAGATTATCGAGTTTTAGATATTTATAATAATTCTACGATTTGTTTACCTCCCGACTCAATCACAATATCAAGGGTTTTCAAATTTCAAACAAAAACCCCAATAATCCACCTCATCAAAACGAGTTTCTCGCTCGCAAAGCCGACAATAATTCGACTGAAAACAAATTTGACAACTTTCTAAAGCTGATTTTATTTTCAACAGAAATTTAACCAACTTTAATTTGATTTGATTCTACAGCTGGCTTAACCAATTTCATTCGTTTTCCTGGTGAATTTATTGCTGTACAATTACTGTACTATACTGTACTATACTGTACAATTACTGTGCTATACTCTGTACAATTTTAAGGTCAACTCTTTATGTATTCAAATGTGGCAAAGATCACAAACGAATCCGGGGATACGGTTTATATTTTCGAGGAGGAAAGCCGAATCCAGTGGATCCCGTGCGGATGGTTGGGTTTTTAGAAAAGAAAATTTAAATAATAACTCACCCCATTAACAATTTCTAGTTCAAAACAAAACTTTCAATTCCCAAAATAAATTCCAAAAACCTCAGGTACCCAACTTTTCTATTAATCCTCGCGCTTCTTGTCTCAATTTTCACCGCCACGAACTCAGAATTCATTCGTTTTGCTGGTGAATTTATTGCTTCAATCGCTCTACTATACTCTGTACAATTTTAAGGTCAAGAAGTGAAAATTGAAGGATGTGGGAGTGCTCGATTTCACGCGGGTAATCGTTGTGCTCTCCTTGCCGAGTACCGAGCATTGACAGGCTGTCGAGCTGATATCAGTGCATCATTTGGGACTTTAACTTTAGAGGTTACCGATAATACTAATCTAATCTTATCAATTTCAATTTCATTTTCAGTTCCGAATCTTTTGTCTTGAAGAATCTCTTCCCGAGATCCTCATCTCATTCGAATCAATTGCCATTATTATCGGCTTTCTTATTTCAGGAGAACTGATTGGAGCAATTGGAAGGAAAACAGTTAAGCATTGTTAAAGATTGGGTTGGTGAATTGAAAACTGCAAGCTATTGTCATATGTGACAATTTGAGCACTTTCTTCAAAAGAAACCCATTTTGGGGTCAATGGAAAAGTTGTAGAGAATCAAAAATCAAGCTTATATCCAAATTTTCAGAACGATTCAAAAACTAGTTTTCAAGAAATTTCAAATTGACGAATTTTCACAAAACTTGCATTTTAAGCGAAACTACTAAGTGTATCTTTTTGGAAATTTGGCTATAAGCCTAATTTTTGATTCTCTACAACTTTTCTATTGACACCAAAATGGGTTTCTTTTGGAGAAAGTGCTCAAACTGGGACATCTCCAGTCCTCCATTTTTGAGTCTCACGCTTGTCTCACACACAGACCAAAATCCCACTACGAAAGAGGAATCCGCAAATTGCCTGCAAAATAGGCAGAAGTCCTCAATAATAATGGAAATTATTTGGAATGAATTTATCGTTTTATGTTGAATAAATTTTAGTTCAAAGTCCCGCAGTTTTCAATTCACCAACCCAATAACTTTATGTAGAGTAATCCAATGAACAAATTGCAAATTTCAAAAGTTTAGACCTTAATCAGCGCACTTTTTATTTCATCAGCTCTCTGCTTTGGTGTCTCCTTTTTCATTCATCTTCAAAATATCATCTTTACAAGAGCGATCATCGCCGGTTTAAGTGGAATCATTGCAAAGTAAGGAACTTGTTATATATCTTTTTCATATCAATGTACAGTACTGGACAATGAAATATGATATTTGAAAAACGATCGTCACTTTCGATCACTAAAAGATCGTCACTTTCGCGCGTTTGTAACTCCCTTGTCTTTGAGTTTAAACTATTAGTGTTATACATTTTCTGAAAGCCCTTTTCAAGGGCTACACAATGGTAAAATTAATATTTAGAAATACGGTAAAGACAAGGGAGTTACAGACGCGCGAAAGTGACGATCTTTTTTCAAATATTATATTTCATTGTCCAGTACTGTACCTATTACATTCTAATCTATTTTCCAAGAAAGCCGAAGCCTTTAGAAACCTCAAAAATATCTGTAATGCTGTACTTTGAACATATTTTTGAATTGATGAAACAATGAAATTCCAGTGCATCAATCTGTTTCTTCTTTGAATCGATCCCTTCCCATTTACGTCTTTTATTAATTTGTCTTCTCAACCCAAGCTACAGCCTATTCACCTCCGGAATAGCTTTCGTGAGTAGAGAATGGAGGAATTATCTTAGAATTGCCTCAACTGTTGCCCTCATTTCTACAATATTTTTGAAGTATGTTTACTTTTAAAAATCGACTCTAAAGCTTTAGATTTTCTGTGGAAAGCGTTTTTCACTCTCTTCAAAGCGGTAAATTCAAAAGAGCGAAAGAGGATTTGCATAAAGTTTGTGAAATGTTGAATGTCGAATCACTTCTAGAAAAGGAAAGTATTTCTGAGTCTTAAGATTTACGGAGTGAACAGTCAACTGGACGAGTTCACGTCAAGAAGTATCGAGAAAATCATCGCTACAGAGAAACGGGTGAGCACGTGCATACAGAAATCAAAAATAAGAGCTTTACTTTACTAAATATCAAAAAAACCTGCTTAACAGCCGGTTTTTCTGGCTTGTTCCATTGTCGCCGTGGCGCAGTCAGGAGTGCGCTTGTCTACAATCCACAAGATCCAATTTCGACCCACTTGCCCCTTGCCTTGCCAATCAGTTTTCAATTTTTAATTTATATTGGCACAACTATCTCTACTGTATATAAGCGAAAGATGTCCGTCTGTCCGTCCGTCCGTCTGTCCGTCTGTCTGTTTGCTCATCTGTCTATTCGTCTGTCTGTCTGTTTGTCTGTCTGTCCGTTCGTCCGTTCGTCCTTCTGTCACAGCGTTTTAAAGAAACGGCTGAACTGATTTTTATGAAACTTTCAGGATAGACTATATAGGTGATATAGTTGTGCCATTCGGTGGAATTTTGGGCATAGAGAAGAAAACGGAGTGTCGCGTAGTCGAGCGAGTCGACGTGATTCGATCTCGCTGTTTCGATCCGCGCGTCTCTCTGAGTATTTTAAAAAACGCTGAAACACGTGTCTAATTGAATTTCATGTAGTTGTACCTTTAAAAAGAAATTTAGAAAAAGTCAAAGTAAATGGTGACTGGCGGGGGTCGAACCCGGGTCGCGTGCGTTGAGGCGAGGGTGCAATGGGTGCAATTTGCATTTAACGCTGAAATTTGCATGGTGGGGTATTCCTAGATAGGGAATTCGTTTCTGGCAATCATTTTTAGGATTTATTTTCTGCTGGTATGTTATATACCGGATTTTCTCTAATAGTAGTGTACCGCAGCGAGCCGAATTGATGACTATTTTACGGATTCTAAAGTCTTCACAGAAGCTCAACACTCAAATCCCCCACTAGATCTCATCGTCAGCTACATTTTCCGACCGCACATCGATAGGTTCTGATAAGCGGTTCTCGAGATTACGAGGAATTTAGGCGATGCTCTCGGTGCACTACTATTAGAGAGAATACGGTCTATAGTGTTAAAAATGGGCTCATTCCGCGTCTTTTTTGATCAATCTTTTCTTCCCCATGGTTACCGTATTCTCTCTAATAGTAGTGCACCCCGGCGAGCCGAGTTGATAACTATTTTACGGATTCCAAGCTTTCGCAGAAGCTCAAGACTCTAATCATCGTCAAGATCTCATCGTCAGCTACATTTTCCGACCCCACATCGATAGGTTCTGATAAGCGATTCTCGAGATTTCGAAGAATTTAGGCAACGCTCTCGGTGCACTACTAGGGAAAATACGGTAGTAGTTATTTAACTTGATAATCGTCAGACTATCAGTGAAACTCCTTTCAGCACCAATCAACGACTCCAAAATGTCAGACTTACTTCCACCTCTTCTTCAACTCCCGCTTTCTTCTATGGACTTTCTTATTGATTTTGAATGTGTAAGTGAATATTTTGTATGGAAATTTATCAGAATATCATTAAAGCTTATTTTTCTCTCATCAACCATACCAAATGCGGTCTCTTCAAGAACTGTTCCCCTTTGATCTTTATTTGAATTCAATCTCGGCTGGGGTTTGGAGTTTCAATTTAATAATTCTCTTAATTATAGATCTTTAATTGGATAACGATTCTACTTTTTGTGATTTCTGATTTTTCAAAGTCAATTAGTCGAAAAGATTTGTTAATGAGCTGTCAAATCTGTTTTGCTTTAGCGACAATCACTTCCGCTCATGGTCTGTTTATCTTTTCACTGTTTTCTTGATTTTTGATTAAATTCAGGTCAAACATATGAATATTTCTATGAAATCTCAGTTCTTCTGCATCATTTGAGTCGAGAAATGGGAATCTCTTTGTGTCTATTGATTGGTTCAGAAATTTTTCCAACTGGTGTCCGATCTCATCTCATTGGTTTGCTACTAATCGTCGAGAAGTTCGGAGGCGTTTATTTGAATGCAGCTTTGCAAATGGTATGTTTTATTTCTGTTTTCTTTCAAGGATTTCAAGGGAAGTTGAAAATTTCTTGACAATTTCTTCACAAGTTTTTGGAATTGGAATTAAGAATTGAAATTAGGAATTGAAATGGGAGGAAGAATTGAAATTTGGAATTGAAAATTCTTGAATATGAACTTTTAGATTTTCTCTTTCTTTTCTCATTTCTTACTTGGGATTCAAATGCATTAGATAGAAAGGATGTGTTTTTAAGAAAACAAAGTAAAGACTTGGAGGAACCTTTAAAGAGATGTACTTTGTGCTCTTGTAAACAGACCCTTTCTAGTGGATTCAGTCACTAGTAAACTAGGCCCCCCAATCCCGAGAATAGCTCCCAGACGACTACTTTTTCTGACCCCCTCTCGGGGCGTGTGCGAGAATGCACGTGATTATGGGCCCGCACAAAGAACAGAGACTCATTTCTTACTTGGGATTCAAATGCATTAGATAGAAAGGATGTGTTTTTAAGAGCACAAAGTACACAAGCAATCTTTAAAGAGATGTACTTTGTGCTTTTGTAAACAAACCCTTGGATTCAGTCACTAGTAAACTAGACCCCCAATCCCAATAGTACCTCGGCGATGACTACTTTTTCTGACCCCCTCGCGGGCCGTGTGCGAGAATGCACGTGATTATGGGCCCGCACAAAGAACAGAGACTCATTTCTTACTTGGGATTCAAATGCATTAGATAGAAAGGATGTGTTTTTAAGAGCACAAAGTACAGACTTCGAGGAATCTTTAAAGAATCTTTAAAGAGATGTACTTTGTGATTAACTCTTGTAAACAAGAACTGAAAATTCTTGGATTGAAATTTATTGAAATTTGGAATTGAAAATTCTTGAACATGAACTTTTAGATTTCCTCTTTCTTTTCTGCTTCTCAACTTTTCGCGGGTTTCTCCCTGCTCTCTCCGCTTCTCATTTTCACCGCTCTTCTCCTCCCAGAATCGAAAAATTCCCCAATTCGGCTGCATTTTCCCGAGAGATCTTTACAAAAAGTGGCGAATTCGAAAGTGAATATATTTCATTGATAATTCTTAAAGAATATTACTATTTTGAGCATTTTATCATTATTAAATCAAATGCTTTGCTTTCATGCTTTTCTTTTATGCTTTTTCTGTTTTTTCTTTTTGTAAAATCATTTCATTTCATCTCAGAAAAGAAAAAAAAAACAATAAATATACTGAAAATCTGAAAAAAAAACAAAAGAAATTTTGTAAAAATGAAATTCACAAAAAAAAAATCAAACAAAATAAAGGGATTTTACCCGATTGAGAAAAGAAAATATAAAAAGAAATTAAAGAAAAAAAAAAGGGAAAAAAGAAATAGTCACATAATGATTTTAAAAATTTCTCAATGAATGACAATGACACGCTTTAGGAAAAAGTATTTAAAGTATTTCAAAATTTATTTATTTTATTTTATTTTAATTTTAATTTTAAAAAGAAAAAGTATTTTAAAAAAGTATTTTTAAAAAAAAGTATTTAAAAAGTATTTCAAAATTTCTCAATAAAATGACACCCTTTTAGCTAAAAGTAAACAAGTAAACAAGTACCAGAATGACAGATTTTTCACGTAAAACTCGTTTTTTTCTAAAAAACAAAAAAGAGGTACAAAATTTCAGCAGAAAATGAAAGAGATTCAAAGTTGACAGAAAATTGGAAAGAAATTTGAGTGATCTTGGTGTACTTTGAGCTCAAGAACGTAAACGCATACTTTCTAGTGCACCGAATTCTTTCTTATGACATAGAAGCTTAGTGTGCGAGAAGGGCTACGTTAAAAAGCAAGCACAAAGTACTCAAGTGATATACTTTGTGCTCTTGAAAACGCATCCTTTCTAGTGCATTGGATTCTTTCATTTCTTACTTGGCATTCAAATGCACTAGATAGAAAGGATGTGTTTTCAAGAGCACAAAGTACACAATTCGAGGAATCTGTACTTTGTGCTTTTGTAAACAAACCATTTCTAGTCGATTCAGTCACTAGTAAACTAGGCCCCCAATCCCGAGAATAGCTCCCAGACGACTACTTTTTCTGACCCCCTCTCGGGCCTTGTGCGAGAATGCGCGTGATTATGGGCCCGCACAAAGAACAGAGACTCATTTCTTACTTGGGATTCAAATGCATTAGATAGAAAGGATGTGTTTTCAAGAGCACAAAGTACACAAGGAATCTTTAAAGAGATGTACTTTGTGCTTTTGTAAACAAACCCTTGGATTCAGTCACTAGTAAACTAGACCCCCAATCCCAATAGTACCTCGGCGACGACTACTTTTTCTGACCCCCTCGCGGGCCGTGTGCGAGAATGTACGTGATTATGGGCCCGCACAAAGAACAGAGACGCAGACGAGGAAAGGGTTGCGAATATTTTCGAGTCACCCATAATCGCGCGCTTTCTGGCACACGGCGCCGCTAGTGATTGAGGAATCAATTTTACCAACTTCCGGTTTAATTACCCAATTGAAAACAAACAAATCGGAGCGTTAGAAATGCGTTTTCATAAGCACAAAGCGTCTTAAATAGTTCGAAGTTAAAAGAATTTAATTTAAAAAACAAGATAGTCATTTATATTAATACCCTTTACATAAAAATACTATATAATTATGAAAAACGAAAGTATTACTCAAAACATTGTTCCCGAATCTATTTAGGGTTTAATTTACTGAAAGGTACAGCTCAAAAAAAGTCTAGTAAATCTCATCAGAATTATTGAGATACTGGTTTTTCTTTTTTCTTTAACTTTTTACTGGATGGTTCGTGGATTTCATCTTCTGATTCAGAGATTGGACGGGGCAGAGCCAACTTGATTTTCATTCGGATTGGACTTGTTCCACCAGTAATCTAAACACAATCAGTAATACTTATATAAGACAAAAGAAAACTTTCTATTCTTTTTATTTGAAATGCTCCTAGTCAACTAGCTGTAATACTAAAATTACGTTTTCTTTTGCTCAAGGCATACCGTATTTTCTCTAATAGTAGTGCACCCAAGCGAGCCAAGTTGGTAACTATTTTACGGATTCCAAAGTCTTCACAGAAGCTCAAGACTGTAATCATCGTCAAGATCTCCTCTTCAGCTACATTTTCCGATCCCACATCGATAGGTTCTGATAAGCGGTTCTCGAGATTACGAGGAATTTAGGCGATGCTCTCGGTGCACTACTATTAGAGAGAATACGGTCTATAGTGTTAAAAATGGGCTCATTCCGCGTCTTTTTTGATCAATCTTTTCTTCCCCATGGTTGCCGTATTCTCTCTAATAGTAGTGCACCCCGGCGAGCCGAGTTGGTAACTATTTTACGGGTTCCAAAGTCTTCACAGAAGCTCAAGACTGTAATCATCGTCAAGATCTCCTCTTCAGCTACATTTTCCGATCCCACATCGATAGGTTCTGATAAGCGGTTCTCGAGATTTCGAGGAATTTAGGCAACGGTGCACTACTATTAGAGAAAATACGGTATTCATTTTTGATTTTTATCCTATAACTTGATATCTTGTCTATCTAGATAATTAAAGTCTTAAGTATTAATAACTAAAGTAAATTATTAAGTATTATTATCTAAACCTTACAACATGTGGTGCGTGATCCATCTCATCATAGAACGGTTCACCCAATTGACCCTCCAATGGTCGCCATCGGATTGAGTGTTTCTTCTGAAAAAGAATCAGAGTCTTTTGTCTTGTCTATTGTCTATTGTTTAGTGGATATTTAAAATCATGTATACTGTAGTATCACTGGTAATTTAGGCATAAAAGATTCCCAACAAGAACCCAGAATCAAAGCCAGCTTTGGCTGATTTTTTCCGATTGTCTACAAGCACACAATTACAGAATGATTAATCAAGAAATGAAGAAGAAATTGAAGTGAAATGAAGCTCTGATTGTAAATTTTCTTTTCACTAACCGTTGCTTTATAGTAGTGAATGAAGAAGAAGACTTTGTGTTTGTAAACGGGCAAAAATTTCTTTACAGCAGCCATGAAATCGTGGTAGACCGCTTTACATGCATCCATGGCCACTGTTCCAGACTAGAAAAATGTACTAAATTCATTTGTTTACCCCTTGTCAAACCTCATTGTATATCGAGCAATTCATAAAGATGATGTTCATATGATTAATGAAATCAAGAACATTTCCCAGTCTTTCCGACTCCAATGAAGCTCTCGGGTTTTCTTCTAACAATGAGACGATTGTGTTGAAGTCCATCGGTTTTTCGACAAGCTGAAAAAGTGATAAACTGACAGAATTCATTTTATTTCAATCTTGAGGTTGATAACTTATAGATTCATAAATTTACCAACAAGTAATACCTAAAAATTCCCTGGTTTTAAGCTAAACGAATGATTTCATTAGATTGTTTTATTGATTTCTATTGATTGTTCTATTGATTTCTATTGCTTTCTATTGATTGTTCTGTTGATTTCTATTGATTGTTCTATTGATTGTTCTATTGATTGCATTAGATTGTCCTATTGATTTCTATTGCTTTCTATTGATTGTTCTATTGATTGTCTATTGATTTCTATTGATTGTTCTATTGATTGTTCTATTGATTTCTATTGATTGTTCTATTGATTGTCATTAGATTGTTCTATTGATTTCTATTGATTGTTCCAGTGATTTCTAATGATTTCTATTGATTTCTATTGATTGTTCTATTGATTTCTATTGATTTTTGATGATTTGAGAGAAATTAATTAAAGAATAGTTCAATTTTTGACTCTTTTAACGAAAGCTCACCTTTTTATATTCTTTCTCAATACTCAAATCAACAGGATCGATGAAAAGACTCGCGTAGTAAGGCTTCTCGAAACATGCCAACAATACTTTGTAACAATTCTGGAAATGAAAAAAGTTAGCTCGAAAAATTGCGAATAAAACTTGGAAATGATTTGAGTTTTGAATAAAGTTACCAATCGATCATCGCCTTGAAAGTTTTGATTGACAGAAGTTGATGGAGTTGATGGAAGACACCACGAGCATTTCCAATCATCACTGAAAATTGGATCAATTATTAACTCTGCTAGAAGGGTAAATTGAGATCGTTGATCTAGGTTGATCTACAAGATTAGGTTTATCAGTTTCCATCAAAAATTCTTACGGTAGCTCAGCCATCGTGCATTTGATTCTCGGGATGTGACACTCAGCGTGATAGATTCGAGGACAAGTGTCGCACATTCCCTAAAGTTATTTTTGATTTATTTTTGATTAAAGCTTCGAGTTTTAAAAGTGGATTGATTAATTAAGAAATTAAGAAGAAAACGAAGTGAAATGAAGCTCTGATTGTCTATTGTCTTTTGTCTTGTCTATTGTTTATTGTCAATCAAAGTCTTTTGTCTTGTCTATTGTCTATTGTTTAGTGGATATTTAAAATCAAGCATACTGTAGCGTCACTGATAATTTACAGTAGGTATAAAAATTTCCCAACAAGAACCCAGAACCGAAGCCAGCTTTGGCTGATTGTTCCGATTGTCTACAAGTAGATCTGTAGACAATTTCAGAATGATTAATCAAGAAATGAAGAAGAAAATGAAGTGAAATGAAGCTCTGGTTGTCTATTTTCTTGTCTATTGTCAATCAAAGTCTTTTGTCTTGTCTATTGTCTATTGTTTAGTGGATATTTAAAATCAAGCATACTGTAGTGTCACTGGTAATTTAGGCATGAAAGATTCCCAACAAGAACCTAGAACCGAAGCCAGCTTTGGCTGATTGTTCCGATTGTCTACAAGTAGATCTGTAGACAATTTCAGAATGATTAATCAAGAAATGAAGAAGAAAATGAAGTGAAATGAAGCTCTGATTGTAAATTTGCTTATCACTAACCGTTGCTTTATAGTAGTAGTAGTATTGTTGAGATTTTTCGATTAAGGGCCTCTCGCGCGATGGACTTAGTCAGTGTCATGTCAGTGTAGCTCATTTATAAACCTTTTGCTAAGCAAGAGATCGTGGGTTCGAATCCCAGCGTCGACTACTCCCAACTCCTCCAACTCCCAATCCACTACTCCCAACTCCTCCAACTATTCCTTCAAAACCAACCGGATACTCATCATGTTCTTTTCGATTAAAACAAGTGTAGCACATATTGTGATGTCCATCCTCGTCCAGTTCCCACTCTGTCGGCAAATCCCAATCTTCTAAAATTTTGAATTTTATTGCTTCTCTTTGACTTTTCACAAATGCTTATACTAAAAAGATTCTGAAAATTGAGTTTAGTTTGATAAGAAGACTTTTTAAAGCTATTTTACTGGTGTTAACAAGATATAGAAGTTCTTATTTAAATGACTTTATCCCCAGTTCCAATTCCACTTACCATGCTGTGCACTCTCTTTTCTTCTCCCGATCGTTTCTTCTACTTTTCTTTTTTTCGCTTTCTTATCTTTCCCATCTTTCCCATCTTTGCCTTCTTTTCCTTCTTTGACTTTTTTTATCTCCTTGCTTGCTTTGGCAATCACACTCCAAGCATTAGCTGAGCCATCGCTAAAAAACAGACTGTACTATAAATCTCGTAGGCGTAGGAGAATTTTGTAATCTATCGGTAGATGAAACAAGATAAGCACTGACCTCATAGCGGGCGATTGTGACCCGGAAGGGTTTGAGGGGAGAGAACCGGGTGATTGATCGGCACGACGATGGCGGGGTGGTGGTGGGCGGTTAAAGGTTTGAGGAGGTCTACAAAGTGTTCGATGATAATTGCAAGTGTTCTCAAAGTCTCAAACTTTCTAAAGCTATTCTAACAGTGAATCCTTTCTATAAAATGAAGCTTTCTTGCTCTCACTATGAAAGATTTTGGTTGAAAGAGCCAGTGCTTGGGACTGGCTATGACGTTGTTAAAATACCGCCGAGATGACTATTTTACGGATTCCAAAGTCTTCACAGAAGCTCAAGACTCTAACGATCGTCAAGATCTCATCGTCAGCTACATTTTCCGACCCCACATCGATAAGTTCTAATAAGCGGTTCTCGAGATTTCGAGGAATTTAGACAAGCAAGTTAAAGCCCAAAGTCTGCTTCAGAAATCTAAAGCTATCAATTTGTAATGACCTTGTTGGAGGTGTTGGCGAGTTGCTGAGAGGAGGTTGGGGTGAGTTTCGATGGGGTGACTGCGGGATCTTTGTGCCGGGTGGTTGTCCAACCATTGATGGTCGTGCCGGGAGAAGACTTGCCGGTGATGGGCATTTCCTCGTGGCACTCAACTCTCTCGCCACCTCCAGACGGATCCCATTCTCTGTGTGTTTTGGGGTTGTTGAGGCGGAAGGTGGCTAAATTTGGAAACATATTGAACCATAAAGAGTCGGAGACTGTAAAGAGTCAAAGTCTCCTTACTACAAATCTTCTAATCCAATAGAAACTCTAGAACGAACCCTATCTTCGGCTTCTTCGGGAGGAAATGGGGAATGAGAGCCATTCTCCTAAAAGTTTGATTGAAGATTTGAAAATTTCTTTAACAAACTAGATGATTTTGTCCATTTATCGGCATTTCACAGTGATCCTCGTCAAAATCCTCTTCGTCTAAAGGCTCAGTTCGTACTTGAATACCCGAGAAGTCAATCTAAATTTTTAAAAAATCAAATTACCTATTTTGTACTTTGAATTAATCTTAAACAAGTTTTTTATCTAAACAAGAAAACAAACCGGTTGATTATTTAATGGAGAAAATGTCTCTTGTTCTTGTTCTTTATCCGTTCCTTGTGCCAATATTCTTTCACCAGCTTCTCTCAATTCTTTCAAGATTATATCTTGACTGTTCAACTCTTGCTCTTCACTGTATCGAGAGGTTGATGGACGGGTGCTGTCGACTGAAATTCGTTGGATTATTCGCTGGATAAGCTGATAAGATATCTGAAAGCCTTGTAAACAAGATCTAGAAGATCTAGAGTCGAATCTAGAGCTAAAAGATCTAGAGTAGAATCTAGATCTAAAAGATCTAGAGTAGAATCTAGATCTAGAAGATCTAGAGTCGAATCTAGAGCTAGAAGATCTAGAGCTTTACCCAATCAAAGTGTCTTACTTGTATTGGGTTGATCGTGATTGTGGGAGAGAAGTTGTTCAGTTGTTGTGGTTGTCGAGAGCCCTCTTTGGATTGATCCAAGTCCCTCACCGGTCAAATCGATTTGTTTGGGCGGTGCTGGAAAAGGACGAAAATCTATGGAGAGAGGAGAGAGATTTCGTGAGAGAAGAGGCAGAGAAAAGAGAGATTTCATCCACAATAAATGATCTAGAAGTACTTTAGACTATTCTGTAAGCCGCAAAATTGCAAACAGATTCAATCTAGCATACTCGATTCTAGTTGCTATTCTAGGAAGAATTTGTTTAAACTTTTAAATAAAAGAAAAGAAATCAAAAGAAATCGATGTTAATGTTTAAAATTGATAAGAAAATGAAGTCATAGGGTTTTCAAGAGTCAAGAATGAAGTCTAAAGAAGTTGGAAGAGTATAAGTTTTGTCAAACAATTAGAATTGACTCACCTTCTCTTGGAGCTTCTTGTGGATTTTGCCAAAAGATTGCTGAAAAGTTTTGATTTGATTAAAGATACTAAAAAGCTATATTTCTTTTTTCATCCTTTTCTTTCTTTCTCTTCCTCTTGTATTTATTTATTTTTAAAAGATGCTTTACTTTATTGCTACTTGTAAGTTTTACTATTTCCTTAAAAGCTAGCTAGATTTGAAGTGCTAGATTTGAAGCTAGTTAGATTTAAAGCTAGCTAGATTCGAAGCTAGCTAGATTTAAAGCTAGCTAGATTTGAAGCTAGCTAGATCTGCTAGCTAGCTTTGAAGCTAGTTAGATTTGAAGTGCTAGATTTAAATCTAACTAGCTTTAAATCTAGCTAGCATTAAATCTAGCTAGATTTGAATTGCTTTGATATACTTGGTGTCTCGTCGACTCCAGAAGTGCCAGGTAGATGCGGTGTATCAAACCATCTCATAAAACACGCAAACATCATCCTCAACAATCCCCGTTGCGCATCATTATATGGTCGTTTCACATGAAGATTCTGATTCCGTAAAGTCAACTTTTTCGTCGACAATTGATCCCAAAGCTGAAAGAAAAAAGATTTGTTTGATAAATAGGTTGATAATTTGTTGACCTTTAGCCTTGGGACACATTCGGGTATGCAAATTTTTTCGAATTTCTTCGTCTCCACTTTGTCATCATTTTTCACCGAAAAAAACCCAAAATCAGTTGCTTTTATCTAAAGTTTTTTTTTAATTTTTTGATTTAAAAATAAAATAAACTTGTTCAAAAAGTGGATCAAAAGCTGAAAGATCGATTTGAGCATCAAATTTTCCCAATCGAATTACATCTTTCAAGGCCTGAAAAGGATTTTGATTGAATTTTTGATAAAAGAGATTAAACTTACTGCTTAGGGATAGGCTTAGGCTTAGGCTTAAGCTTAGGCTTAGGCTTAGGCTTAGGCTAGGCTTAGGGCTTAGGCTTAGGCTAGGCTTAGGCTTAGGCTTAGGCTTAGGCTTAGGCTTAGGCTTAGGCTTAGGCTTAGGCTTAGGCTTAGGCTTAGGCTTAGGCTTAGGCTTAGGCTTGGACTTAGTGTGAAGGCTAGCGGCTAGCGCCTAGCACTAAGTCTATTTGGGTTTGGGCTGAACCCCCATTTTCTGGATCTTGGCCGGTTCTCGGAGCTAAGGGACACCCGCTTGGCGATGTGCATGCGCCCCCCCATATTAGGCTTAGGCTTAGGCTTAAGCTCAGGCTTAGGCTTAAGCTTAGGCTTGCTTGCTTATTATTGCTTTATTATTCTAAAATTAAATATTCCCAATCGAATTAGATCTTTTAAGGCCTGAAAAGGAAAGAATAAGCTTTGATTTGAATTTTTGAAAAAAGAGATTAAACTGCTTTCATAAATGGCTGCTTACTGCTTTCATAAGTGGCTCAGCTTGCTCGAGTTCAGCCATGTGACTCATCGTTTGCGTGATGAAACCCTCCAATTGATTGTTCGGTACTTTCCCATAATGGCCAAGGATTTGACTTGCACAGCTGCCCACCTGGAAAAATGAATTGAATTGAATAATTGTCAAACATAGCACTTTAAAATTGAACATTCAACATTCAAACAAACCTTTGTGGCTTTATCAGCTTTCTCTTTCAATTCCTTCAATAACTTTTTACTCGGGGCTAATTGTTCTTCCGTTTCACTCACAACTGCTGCACTCAAACAATCAAATAATCGACTGATCTGGAAAAAAAAGACTTATTGATTTATTGATTTATTAATTTATTGATTTTTTGATTTATTGTTTACTCATACCTCAGAAATCATTAAAATTTTCATAGCGGCTAGCTGATTTTGAAGAGAATCACGGAGTTCGATTAGCTCTTGACAAGCCTGGGAAATGGCATCAGATCTGAAAGGTTTTAAATATTGTACACTACTGGACAATGAAATATCATATTTGAAAAACGATCGTCACTTTCGCGCGTCTGTAACTTCATTGTCTTTACCGTATTTGTAAATATTAATATTATCATTGTGTAGCCCTTGAAAAGAGCTTTCAGAAAATGTATAACATTAATAGTTTAAACTCAAAGATAAGGGAGTTACAGACGCGCGAAAGTGACGATCGTTTTTCAAATATGTCCAGTACTGTAGTTATTTGTCCAGTACTTCTTTAACCCTTGACAAACCTTCCAGAGAATTGTCTCTGCATATTGAGCGCCGCTTGTCTAGCTGTTTCCATTTTCTCAGGCCTCAAGTGCTAGAAATTGATTTTTCAATAAAAGCTATGAAATAGGGATTAGTGATTCACAAACCTCGGGTAAATGTTGAAGGAGTTGATGAGAAGAAGAGGGTTGAGAGTGAGCGACTTGTGCTTGGTGTCGTTGAGCAGCAAAAGCGGCTTGTTCCCGTTGACGGCGATGCATTTGAGCCTGCAAATTTCCTTCGACTTTACAGCTTGAGAATCTGTTCATAAGCTCATAAATCCTGATACTCCTTCAATAATATATCATAATATATCATCTTCCTTCAGTAATATATCAAACTAATCCATCCGATGAGCATTTAATCAAACTCATTTACAATAACAAGCAAATATATAGTTAAAACTTTTCTGAGTCAGCTAAGATTCTTTTCGGGGTCTTTTATTTGTGAAATTCTTTCATAATTTGATTAATTTGAGGCTTTTCTTAAGACAAACGGCTAAAATAAACTCTTCCAATAGATTCTACGACCTTGAAAACCCCAGGATACAAATTTTTAACATTAAATCTTATTTGAGAATCATCTATGAGAATCATACAGAAGCTCTCTATGGAAGGTGTTCTTTATGCGACCGCGTAATCACTCGCGATCTGGCACACGTTCCCGATAGATAGCTCTTCCCTTCCTCCGTCCAAATTCCTTACCAATGCAGCCGGGGTTAGACCGGGCGGTTGATGTCGAAGAACAGGTGATTGGGGCTGCATCTGTCCATTCGTGCCCATCATTTGTTGTTGCAAGTAGCTCTGCTAAAGTTTATATAGAATTTTTAGAAATTATCTAGTTTTCTAGAGTTTTTTCTAAAGAAACACTCTCTTACCTGTGCCTGCATTCGGAGTTGATTGGCCAATTGGGTGACGTGCGCTTGTCGATCGCTTGTTGAAGTGCCAGAGTTGGTTGAGCTCTGGAATCAGTTGTTGTTATTTTTTTTTTGGTAAGAAATGACTCACCGATTGCCTTGGTTGAGCATTGCTCATGTTTCGTTGTAGCTGTTGGGCCAAGTGAGCTTGTTGTTGCTAAAGAAATTGATTGAATTAAGCAAGGTAAAGGTGAAGAAAGGTTAGATCTAAAGTTTTGAATATATTGATCAAAATCTTGCTAAGCTAAGCTAAGCCTATTTTGGTTTTGGTTCCTTATCTCTCTAAATTTCTTTTTCTAAGTCTTACCCTTTGCATTTGTATATATCGATCAAGAATCTGTTTTTCACTAGCTGCCGGAAGTCTCATTCCACTTGTACCCGTCCCAGAGGAGCCCATCTGATGGGGCAACATCTGAAAGAAGTTGCTGTTGTTGTTGTTGTTGTTGTTGAAGATCTTTTGATCTTTTGATCTTTTGATCTCTTGAGATTCTTGTTTTTTCTTTTCCTTATACAAATTCTTGATTCATACTTGTTTTAAAAAAGTTTTATAGTTTGTTTTTTCTTTCTTGGTTGAAGGTAACATTGTGTAAAGTTGGGTAATCGATTCAGACTTTACTTTAAAATGTTTTACTATCAAAAATCTGTGATTTAAACGATTATTTCTATAGTTTGTAACTAAAAAAAAACTATAACTAACTAACTAACTGTAACTAAATTTTAAAAACTATGATCTTTCTTTGCAAAATTCTTCAAAAATTCTTCTTCTTCTTTACCTTTTCTCAGCTACCCAACTTGAAGACCGTACGTGGGCATAGGTCTGAAGAAATTTTGAATAAAACTTTTGTGTTAAAGCAGCAAATATAGAGAAATAAAGGAAAGCCGAAAAAAGCTGCGAAGAAAACAAACAAGAAGTCGACGGGAGAACGCCGGAGGGAGTACACGGAGCACCAAATGACGTAGGGAATGTCTCGCCAGAAGGGTCAGAGTAAGGGGAGAGCTTTGGGGGGAAGAGGCACGTGACAGACACGAAAGAGAAATGAGAGAACCGGCCGCTCTCTATCGATCCACTCGGGCAGCATCAACTGGAGGGCAGCTAGGGCAGCTGATCGGTCAGCAAAGGTCGCCCCTCCCATCAAGCCTCTCTTTCCCCAAAAAGAGGTCGATGTTCGGTGTCTTGTTTGGAAAATTGCAAGAATTTGAGGGAAAGGGGGTTAAGGTTCGTTTCAAATCATAGAATCAGCTTGAAAGCTATTGAGATATTGTTATCGAATTGATTGATTTAACTTGACAAGACAATGAATGAGTAACGAAGCTCGATGAGTCAGAGTTATCAGGCTTTCATTAAGATCTCAATTCAATACAATATATTAGTAGAATGAAGTGAAGCTAAGTATTTGAAGATTCCTAGAGAAAAGAGAACAAGGAGTCAAGTACAACCAGGTTAAAGTAAAGATAAATGGTAAAGAGTTTGAAACTGAAGGGAATTGAACCGTCGACTTTCTGTTTATCAGGCAAATGCTTACCATTGAGCTATTAATGTCTTCTTTGCTCAAGAAGAAATAGGAAACACAATGAAGAAAGAGAAAATATCTGGCTTAAGATCGATCCCTCAAGCTAATCGTTTTCTGCTGATATTCTCGATGAATGAATCATTAGCCTTAATCAGAAAAGCTTTGTTTACTTGATATTTGTATCAAGATTTCATTAGTTCTAAAAATAGCCACTCTTTCGTCACTTCAAAACGAGTTGAGGTGCTCAGGCTATAAACTATGAGCTCAGGCTATAGACTATGAGCTCAGGCTATAGACTATGAGCTCAGGCTATAGTCTATGAGCTCAGGCTATAGTCTATGAGCTCAGGCTATAGTCTATGAGCTCAAGCTATAGACTATGAGCTTAGGCTATAAACTGATGTCAAAGCTATTGAAAGCTTAGTTAAACTATGAAAATCATTCAAAATCTGTAGATTTACTTGGATATATAGTAGCTGATTAATACCTACCATAAATACTGTAATAGTACCCCACCCCCCTCGTACAGTCGCGTAGTCGCAAAAAAGTTTTTTAGTATTTCATTTTTTTCAAAGCGCCCGTACTTTCAAAAAATGCGTCTTTGGTATCAAAAAAATAGCCCTGAATTTCAGCTATTTTTTGATACCTAAGCGCGCATTGTAGCATAAACCAGTGTCGAGAAAAACTTGTTCAAAGCTAGACTACGCAACACTCCACACCGTCATTATGGGGGGGGGGTACAATTACAGTATTTACAGTAGGTTATTTTGCGTTTTGAACACAGTTTACCAGAAATATCGAGATCTTCTCTTCTGATTTGGTTCTTTTGATCGTTCTTTTGATCGATCGTGGCTCTTTTGCATAAACATCAATCCTGTTTACTTTACTTTACTGTCATCAAACAATCAAAGGGCAATTCTTTTCAAAAATAGGAAAGACAATGAAGAAAGAGAACATCTCTGACTTAAGGTCGATCCCTGAAGCTAATCGTTTTTCTGGCAGACAAATATTCTCAAGAAATGAATCATTAACCTATTCTCCTTTAGATCTTTTCATCCATTAGTCATTTTTCATTTCAAACTCGGAAAATTCTCATCAAATTTTTTTTTGTGATGACGTCATTTGTTGAGAGGAGGAGTCACGAGTTGGGAAGAGGGGGAAACGTTCATTCAAAACGCGATCAAACTCGTTCATTCAAAAGACTTCGGGGACTGATAGAAATTTTGAAAATTCTAGATTGCTTTAGCAAAGCTTACAAGCTTTTCCCTTCATTCTATCGAAAAAGCATTTAGCCTTTTTCACCAAGAGAAAGCCCAAAAACAATTAAAATGGCGTCATTTTTTGCTAGGAAATTCGAGAAACCCTTGAAAAAAAGGAGAAAAGAAGATATTTTGAAATCGAAAAATATTGCAATAGCTTTTCTTTCGGTATTAGATATCTCCTGATTTTGATATGTCCATTTTGATCGGATTTTTTAAGGGAACTTGCGTAATGCAAGAATTTATTCATCGCATATGTACAGAAGAAATGTTTGTAAAGATTGTTTACTCCTCCATTTTTACTTTAGAGTCCGGGGATCGGGATTGGGAAAGTGTTTAGGATTGATGGAGCCCTGAAATTGAGATTAGAAATTGATTGATTGGATATTTGAATACTGGAGGAGAGCTGGGAGTGATCCGAAGAGAGAATGGAGTGGATCCAGATTGAGAAGGTTCAAAAGAAGACAGACAATCGCTTGGACAGCGGCGAGGATTTGGTTTAAGACACCTTGGTTCACCTGAAATTCAAATATTGATAACTGTTTTAGAATCCAGTATACCAGAGTCCAGAGTGGGGAGACGATTGGAGTCACTTCATCCAAGACAACAGTCAGAACTTGGAGACAGAGATTGGCGTAGAGATTGGTCTGTCCAGTCAACAAGCCTGGAATGGACTGCGATGATTGTATTGTCAAGTATTTCTTACCAGAGAGAAGATATTCAGTGTTCACTTCCAATTCCAATCCACATGGACCCTCGGGAATGATGAGAATAGTTGGAAGGGAGAGATTTCCTTGAAGGATTTGAAGATGTTCAAGGGTGTACTCAACAAAAGTGATTCCGTTGACGGTTTGGATGGTTTTCGAGAGGATGTTGACATGAGAGACTGAAAGATTGATGGGTAAAGATGGACTGAAAGAAACTTACTCCAATCAAGGATACAAACGAGGGCATCAAGATTTGGAATGACTGGGCAATCACAGACTCCATTCAAATTGGGGAGTGGAATGGGAAGAGATGGGACTGAGACTCCGCCAGAAGCTCCAGCTGAGGCTCCACCAGAGAATCCAAGCAATCCAGCCCACGATGGAGTGGTCAAGAGGGCGAGGAAGAGGGGAAAGGCGAGAGCGGACAACATGACCTGGAAAGTATCTTTATCATAAGAATTAGATCGTATCAAAGAATTTAAGATCTTTAGTTCTACAGTATCTTTAGTTAACATTGGGCTTCTACTTTGTTAAGTTTAAAAGTTAAACTCACTTGTTTTATTGAGTTGAAAGACGAGGTTGTTGATACTTTACTCGATTTAAGCTTGCTTTATATAGTAAATTATCCAGTGAATCTCTGAACATCGATCAGCTCAGAGACATCATGATTGACCAAAATAAGCTTTTCCTTTTTGACATTACAATAGAAACACCTCCATTTTGCATATTTCATGCAATCAACCGCATGTTTTGATCAAATAGAAGATCATCTAGTGACTGTTATTCAAAGTTTTGACCCAAGGACAAGAGATTCCGTTTTTAGATTTTTGAGCTGTTCACAACAATGGTCTAGACCCTTTCCAAAAATATGCAAATTGAAAAGCATAAACGTCCAAAACAGCTGTATGCAAGGAGACAATGGAAGCGGGAAAACAGTTCACTCTGAAAGTGAGCAAAACATGATGTTTTTTTGTCAAAAATATTCAAATTCCGATCAAAACTTACGTTTCCTATGGTAAAAAGGAATGGTTTGTTTTGCACAAGCACGCCCAATCACTGATCTCTTTAGCTGATCGATGCTCAGAGATTCACTGGATAGAGTTCAGTATATAAAGCAAGCTTAAATCGTGTAAAGCATCAACAACCTCGTCTTTCAACTCAATAAATCAAGTGAGTTTAACTTTTAAGTCTGATTAATTTAAATCTGGGAACTTAGATTCATCTGCAAATCTTTGATACGATCTAATTCTTATGATAAAGATACCTTCCAGGTCATGTTGTCCGCTCTCCGCCTCCCCCTCTTCCTCGCCCTCTTGGCCACTCCATCGTGGGCTGGATTGCTCGGATTCTCTGGTGGAGCTTCAGCTGGAGCTTCTGGCGGAGTCTCAGTCCCATCTCTTCCCATTCCACTCCCCAATTTGAATGGAGTCTGTGATTGTCCAGTCATTCCAAATCTTGATGCCCTCGTTTGTATCCTTGATTGGAGTAAGTTTCTTTCAGTCAATCTTTACCCATCAATCTTTACAGTTTCCCATGTCAACATCCTCACAAAAACCATTCAAACCATCAATGGAATCACTTTTGTTGAGTACACCCTTGAACATCTTCAAATCCTTCAAGGAAATCTCTCCCTTCCAACTATTCTCATCATTCCCGAGGGTCCATGTGGATTGGAATTGGAAGTGAACACTGAATATCTTCTCTCTGGTAAGAAATACTTGACAATACAATCATCGCAGTCCATTCCAGGCTTGTTGACTGGATAGACCAATCTCTACGCCAATCTCTGTCTCCAAGTTCTGACCGTTGTCTTGGATGAAGTGACTCCAATCGTCTCCCCACTCTGGACTCTGGTATACTGGATTCTAAAACAGTTATCAATATTTGAATTTCAGGTGAACCAAGGTGTCTTAAACCAAAT